ACAATTTTTGAAATATGACAAAATCGTGATTTAGATTTAATTTTTAATTTTTTGAAGAGATGTTTCTTTTCAGAGGACAAAAATTGTACCACATATATTGAGCAATCGTCCAAGAGTTGAAAACTGTTTGCAAAAATGATGTCGTTACCGTTGTTATATATGGTAACAATGACGTTTATGGCCGACATTTTACCTTTTAACACATTTTACTCGAAACTTAATTGAGTAAAGGACATTATAATGTGGCTGTATCAAGATTTAATTGTTTTATAAAGGCAACTAAAGGCATATCACGATTAAAGATGTATTTAAACAAGTATTAAATGTCGATAAAGTGCGAACATACCTTTAATGCCTTTAAACACAATTTTATACGTTTAAACATACCTTTAACAGATTTAACCTAATGTGTAAAGGTCAAAAAAGGTATGGATTTCTTTAATCAACTTTAAAGATCACATATAAACTTGAGTAAAGTTTGATGTGGCTTTATCAAGCTTTAATTGTTTTTGTAAAGGTAACTAAAGGCATATCATGATTAAAGATGTATTTAAACAAGTATTAAATGTCGATAAAGTTCGAACACACCTTTAATGCCTTTAAACACAGTTGTATACGTTTAAAGATACCTTTAGCAGATTTACCCAATCTGTAAAGGTCAAAAAAGGTATGGATTTCGTCCTGTGTTGTAAAATAGTGAATATATTCCGGCTTACTCGCTTCAGTCGAAGATGCTTCTCCAGTATTCGGTCTTACTGCTCAGCTAGCGTAGTGGCTATCGAGGATACTAACCGCAAAATATAACCTAGCTTCACACGCATTTTGACGGACTTATTTCACCAAAAAATACGTCATACTTTATACCAAAATGCAGCAAATTTTACGAGGAGTTTCAGGCTGCTCCACTATGTATTTAGATATGGTCCGTCATGGAGAACGGACGTGTAGATTTTAGCTCTGAAAATTTGGCCGAATCTTTATTAAGTTTTGTGGATAATGAGGACTCGAGCATTTGTAAATCGAATGCACAAAATCCCTTAAATGTTGTAAATATCTTGTACCACTCTTTCTGCTACAAGAAAAACAAACTTAAATGGGCTGGTTCGTTGGAAGACTTAAAAGCCATCGTGCTCACTGAAGTGGACGAAGAAACAGCCGAAAATACGACCTGGCGATCACCTAGCGGCGGTACGTGGAAATTTGACAGTCAAGTACTATCTGTTACATGGCAAACAAAAAGTCAAAATATTTATTTCGAAGGCGAAAGGGGCCAGGAAGTGACCAGACGGATAATTTTGCTCTTAAACCAAGGCGAGTACGCATTGGTGAACACTTATCCTGCCGAAGATACAGCCACCGAAGCTGAGGTATGTAACTGTGATTGTACATGTATTAACACGCTTAAAGCAAAACAGGAAAATATGGAAACCATTATGCATCAGCAAGAAGAAACGATCCATAAACTCATTGAGGAGAATTCAAGTTTTAAATCTAAACTTAAGACCCTTGAAAATCTAATGCTTAGATTAACCCATAACAACCAAGAGAAGAACAATGACCGTAGGCCGGCGATCAATGCAATTAACATTCCAAGCATAACGACACCAACAAACAATGCACAATTGAATACGTTAAATACAAGCATTCCAAGCTCAATTAATATTGATATTCCATATGCAGTTAAAGCCTCAGCTAATCCAAATAGAAATAATTAAGATTATTAGAGAACAATGATAGTAACCCTGCGACGAATACAATTAAAATCTCAAACAAACCGACACCATGCAACAACGTACAATCAGACAATTTTAGAATAAATAATGCGAGCCAAAGTAATGCTGAAATTACATCAACAGGCAAAAAGGAAAAAGCGTTAGTGCCTTGCCCGTTCCTGAAAAAGAGAGGTCACTGCTTAAAGGGAGACAGATGCGACTTTCTGCATAAGAAAGTCCTACCTGTAACAAGTGGATCGAAGTTTCAACAAAAGCGTGATAATACACCACAATCAGGCAGTAACCAATTCCCTTTTCCCCTCGACCTAAGTTATTTTTCCCCATTTCGACTCCCAATGTTTTATCCCCCCCTACAGCCGTTTCCGTATCTGCATACACCCCCACCTCCGACCCTACCAAGCCCCCCACCTCTTATGTCACTATGGACAAGATCCCCCGTTTACTAAATGAAGAGACATCCTACAATCCTAATTTGAAGATACCGGTTAGAATAACATCACGCTTTAGTAAAACAAACTATGATCAAAATACCCTCACGCGAATTTATAATCCCAACAAGATTAGAAATACACATGCAAATTTAATTGCTATCAAGCCCACCAGAAATGGTCCTCCTACGCAAAAGATCATACCTAAATGCATGGTTATAAATGCACGTTCTCTTGCCAAACCTCAGGCAGTTTCTGCGTTGGATGTTGAGCTCTCTACATGGGAAATTGACATCTGCTTCGTGTGCGAGACATGGTTGAACAGTAAGATATTATCAAATTTAGTATGTCCCAATAACTATCTTATTGTAAGAAAAGATCGCGGTGATGGTAGAAATGGAGGAGGTGTTGCTATAATTTGTCGGGAAGATTGGAAATGTAAATCTCTAAACTTTCAAAATAATTTGGAATGCATCTGGTGTGAAATTGAGACAGCAAATAGCAAATACTATGTCGCCTCTGTGTATCACCCTCCGGACCCCACATATCAGGAAAGCGAATTACTAAATCATTTATCAGAGAGTATAGAGCAAATTCTTCAGTGGGAATCAAATGCCAGAATTATAATTGGAGGAGATGTTAATCAACTGAAGGTTAAGGATATTATAAGTCAACATAATATGGAACAAATGGTGAGAAAACCTACAATGATGTAGATGTTAATACAGCGTTTCTAAGTAACTTGCAAATTTGTTTAGATAAAATTCAATTAGAGCCGAATAAATTAATAGTTTTGCTAGGGGATTTTAATGCTCATTATGATTTCTGCAATTCTTCAGATTCAAGTGATTTTGGCTCTTCCTTATATTGCTGGATGGAATGCAATAGTTTATTTCAAGCTATAAATGAACCAACACGCATAACATCAACTGGTTCAACACGTTTAGATTTAATTATTACTAATTCTCCTGGTTATTTTGTAAGTTCAGGCACCCTAAGTCCGCCGGCAAATTGTGATCATTGTATAGTATACGCTAAATTAAGTATTCTTTTATCAAAACTTAAATGTTTTAAGCGCACAGTTTGGAATTATCAAAATATTGACGAAGCAGAATTGAACTATGCTTTGTTAAATTATGAATGGGAAAGATGTTTTACTGGTGGTGAAAATGTGAATATTATATTTAATAATTGGTTTTCAAGTTTCCAACATGTTGTTGAGGAATATATTCCCCGAAAAACAGTTGTTATTCGTCCGCACGATAAACCGTGGATGGATGGCAACGTTAGGAGAGCTATCAGAAAACGTAACCGATTATTAAAAAGGTACTCAAGACATAAAACGCCAGCATCTTGGGAAAGATATAGGATACAAAGAAATCGAACAACCAGTTTAATTCGATCAAACAAAGTTAAATATTATGCCAGTCTAAACCAGGACCTTGGTGATCCCAAAATAAGTCCTAAAAAGTGGTGGGGAATTGTCAAGTCACTTTATGGTCAAAAAATGCGTGTTGCTGTACCAACGCTTATTGAGGGTCAAAATGTAATAAGCGATGCTAGAGCTAAAGCAGAATTATTGAACGACTATTTTAGTAGTCAGAGCATGATCGACGATAGTGCTGCAATCCTTCCTCACGAAATAGTTCCATTTCAGTCAGCTACTTTCTTGTCCATTATTACCACCACCGAAAGTGAAATAAATCGCTTACTTCGACGTTTGGACACAACAAAAGCTTGTGGTCCCGACGGAATCAGTAATAAAATAATTAAGGTTAGTGCAGATGGCATAACGAATGTTTTCACACGGTTGGTTAACTTATCATTGTCCTCTGGCGTTTTTCCAGAACAATGGAAGATGGCTAATGTTATTCCTTTATCCAAAACTATAGTCGATCGTCAATTGAAAATAAATTACAGACCCATATCTTTATTAGCGTCGTTATCAAAAGTAATTGAGAAAGTTGTTTTCATGAGATTTTATAATTTTTTACTTGACATAGGTTTTTTAAATCCTATGCAGTCAGGTTATCGCCCAGGTGATTCTACAGTTAATCAAATTTTATATTTAACGCATAAGATATACGAGGCTTTCGAACTAGGCAAGGAAGTAAGAGTGGTGTTTCTCGACATCAGCAAAGCCTTTGATAGAGTCTGGCATAAAGGACTGTTATACAAGCTTAAGTTAATCGGTGTAAGAGATCCTTTGCTTAGTTGGTTTGAGAGTTACTTATTGGATAGAAAGCAGCGCGTAGTCATAGATGGTCAGTTTTCGCAATGGAAGAATATCAACGCCGGAGTACCCCAGGGGTCTGTGCTCGGTCCACTATTATTTTTAGTTTATATTAACGATATAACTGAAAATCTTGAAACAAATAACTTATTATATGCCGATGATACGTCACTATTCGATATAGTCGAGTCTCCTGATATTACTTCAGTTAAATTGAATAACGATCTTAGTAAGATTAGTGATTGGGCAAAACGCTGGCTTGTTACTTTTAACGTTAAAAAAACTGAAAGTATTATTTTTTCAGTAAAACGGTTTAAACCCCACCATCCAGATTTATTTTTTGATAATAACAAAATTGTGGAGGTCTTACAACATACACATCTAGGAGTAAAATTAACCACAAATCTTTCATGGAAAGCCCATATTGTAAATATCTTTGAGAAAGCCAATAAAAAGCTTAACATGCTTAAAGGTCTTAAATATAAAATTAGCAGAGATACTTTGAGTAAGTTATATTTATCACTTATTCGTCCTGTCATGGAATATGCAGACGTATTGTGGGACAGTTGTACTGAAAGTGAAAGCGATCTTCTTGAACACGTTCAGTATGAAGCAGCGAAACTCGTGACAGGGGCTATGAAAGGAACAAGCAAGCATTGTCTCATGAGAGAAGTAGGGTGGGAAAGTATGTCAACTAGAAGGAAAATTCACAAACTTACTTTATATTATAAAATTGTAAATAATTGTAGTCCCAGTTACTTAAGTGACTTACTTCCTTTTCAAGTTCGTCGGAGGACACAACATAAATTAAGAAATTGTATAGATTACTCACTCTTCGCTTGTCAAACAGAACGGTTTAGGAAAGCCTTTTTTCCTTCCACGACAATATTATGGAATAATCTGAGCAATGAGATACGTTCTACAGATTCAATTACACACTTTAAGAACAGTCTACTAAATGTATTTGACATATGTAATCCTAATCCTATTTTAAATTTTGCAATTGATAGGCATTCTTCTATTTTCCATACTCGTTTGCGATGAGGTGTATGTGCACTAAACTTATATTTGTATGGCATAGGTTGTAAAATGTCTCCATCATGCAGGTGTGGCTATCACACTGAATCTATAAAACATTATTTTCTCTACTGTCCAATATTTGCTGCCCAAAGGTCTAAGCTGTTCTCCTCCGCTGCCGAGAAACTTCCCGAAGGGTGGTCAAGATTGAAGGATGAACAAATTATAGAAATATTTCTCTTTGGTTCTCAAATGCTGTCGTTGGAACACAACACGGCAATATTTTCTTATGTTCAGACTTATATTAAAGAAACAGCACGTTTTTATTTCAATATTTCTTGACACCTATCGTGTTAGTTTTCAAATATTAAAAACCGTGTGTGCGTGACAGTGTATTTTTTAATTTCTAACGAGTAAGCCCCCTAGATGAGTGTGTACGCTCTTGGGGCAAACTCAATTTTCCAAAATATGTTTAAATAAAAAAAGTACTTGACATTTTCCTAACTAATTGTCCACACTTATGGAATCACCCTAGAGTCTTTGATGGCTTAGTAAAATCTGACCATTTGGCTGTCGTGATAACTCCACGGGTAGCTGTAAAACCGGAAAGAAAAACAGTTTATTTTAGAGATGCAAGAGACCATCGAAAGTTTGCTATGGTAAGAGAGTTGGAAGCACAAGACTGGAGCTGTATTGATGACTGTGAAGACGTGAACGAATCAGTTATGTTATTAAATCATATTATCACTTCTGCATTCAACAACAGTTTTCCATTGATTAAGATAAAATTATCCACACGGGATCCCCCATACATGTCTCCTCTGGTAAAACATTTATGTAAAATACGCAATAAAAGTGTGAGGAATGGAGTTAACGAAGATCTACAAAAAAAGATAAATAAGCTTATCCGAGAAAATATGGTTAGTGAAGTTAAGAAGGAGAATGGGAAATATGCATCTGGTTCGAAGAAATGGTGGGACACAGTTAATAAAATCACCGGTAGGAAGGCAAATCATACCAGTATAAATATTGATCCAAGTGTTATAAATAGTTATTTCCAGACAATAAACACTGATGATAATTATACATATCCTGAACTCGTTCCTATACCCAATGAGACTAGAGTACCAAATGTTGATATACCCACTGTAAAAAGGTTTTTGGAAAAACAAAAGAAAACATCAACAGGTCCTGATGGCCTACTCTATTGGGTATGGAAAGACTTTGCAAAATATTTAGCCCCAGTGATAACAAAGATATTTAACATGTCATTGGAACAGCAATGCGTTCCCCTCCTATGGAAATTAGCCAATCTTAATCCAATACCTAAGGAAAGCCCCCTTATAGAATGTACACAATTAAGGCCTATATCTCTTACGAACGTAATAATGAGATTGTTCGAAAGAATAGTGTTTAAAAAAGAGATCTCATCAGAACTAAAACAATTAATAAAATCTGACCAATTCGCATATAAGGAAGGTACCAGCGCAACTGATGCTCTTATTATGTGTCACCATAAATGGCTAAATTGGCTGGATGGTGATGTTGATCATGTCAGGGTGATTTCATTCGATCTCAAGAAAGCCTTTGATTCCGTTTCTCACAACATCATTTGTAAGAAGCTAGAAAAAACCAACATTAATCCATATGTAATAAATTGGATTAGAAATTTTTTGACTGATAGGAGACAAAGAGTAATAGTAAACGGAATAGGAACAAATTATGTAGACATAAACAAAGGAGTACCGCAAGGCACAGTTCTTGGACCATTTCTATTTTCCTTAATGATAAATGATCTAACAGTCAAAGATCCAAATAACAACATACTAGTCAAATTTGCAGATGATATGACTGTTAGTGCTCCAGTGAAAAATAGTTATGACTCCGCACTAACTGAGGTAGACAATATTGAAAAATGGACGGAAACAAACAGAATGTCATTAAATCTAGATAAAACATGGAAAATGGTTGTAAGTGGCAAATCAACAAATCCTTTACCAGAACCAATAACGGGTATCGAACGCAAGACTTGGCTGAAACTATTGGGAACTACACTGCAGAATGATCCAAATTGTTGGGACCTTCAAGTTAATAATTTGATATCTAAAGCTAGCAGTCGAATGCACATTTTGAGAATATGCAGATCGTATGGTTACTCTAAAAAAAAATTAACAATTCTCTTCGACGCACTTATTATGTCTTTATTTTCTTATGGAATCGAAGTATGGGGTTCAGCACTTGAAAAGAAGTACCTGGAACGGATTGATAAATTTCTTAGGCGAGCATACAGATATGGATACACAACAAAAAGTGTTCAGATAATTGATGTGATTAAAGAAAGAGACATGAGTTTATTTGAAAAAATATGTAGCAACCCAGACCACCCTTTATACGAACTACTTCCTCCTAAAAGACAAAGACCGTTAAGAGAACGCGAACACGATTTCATATTACCTAAGGTTAAAACAGAAAGATTCAAACGGTCGTTTTTAAATAGGTGTCTTTTTAATAATTTTAGCTAAAATAATTAACTTAGATACATAATAATAATTTAGTCTTAGTCTTTTTAAGAATTCTACCTAAGAATAATTAACTTAGATACATAATAATAATTAAGTTTATTTTTTTTTTTTTTTGGAACCTTGTATATGAGAATTTTAAATGTAAAGTCACACGTCTGTTGTGGCTATGTTTAATAAAGACTTAATAATAATAATAATAATAATAATAATAATTGCAAACCACCGCCTATCAACAGTTCCAATTTACCAAAGCAAAATGATAATAAAGTTATTTATCCGAAACTAAAGGGATTAAATTTGCCCATGTGAATATAACTAGCCTTCCAAAACATTTAGACGAATTAAAATTATTTCTCCAACAACTACCATTTGAAATATTAAGTTTAAATGAAACGAGATTAGATGAGACAATTCAAAATAATATGGTTCAGATTCCAGGTTATGAGATAATTAGACGAGATAGGAATAGAAGAGGCGGAGGGGTTGCTTTTCTTTTCAAAAATAACTATTCGTACACTCTATGAGACGATCTAATTCCAAAAGATCTTGAAGCAATCTGTATTGAATTAACGCTACGTGTGAGTCGGCCAATTTTGATTTTGACTTGGTATAGACCTCCTGATTCGAATGCAGAAGTATTCGATTTGTTTGAAGAATTTCTGCAAAAGGCCGAGGCAGAACATAAGGAATTGATTATTCTAGGCGATTTGAATTGCGATTTGTATACAAATACGGCAAGTTCAAGTACAAAAAAATTAATTGAATTATTGGATGTTTATCAGTTAAAACAACTCGTTAAGAAACCTACACGTGTAACAGCTAAAACAAGAACATTGATAGATGTTATTATAACTCAATTGGGAAATACGAATGTTACTGCTTCTGGAGTCATACACCTTGGAATTAGCGACCATAGTCTGGTGTATACTTGTCGCAAAATTAGTACCCAAAGAGAAAAACCAAAAATTATTGAAACTAGGCAATTTAAACATTTTAACAGTCGAGCATTTGAAAATGATTTAAATCAAGCTTTTGCTGGTAATGATGTTTACCATCTTGATGACCCAAATGAGATTTGGAATGTATGGAAAACTATATTTCTCTCTTTAGCTAATAAGCATGCACCTCTAAGACAAAGGAAAGTTAGAAGTACTTATAACCCTTGGATAACTACGGAGATTAAGTGCCTTAGTCACCGCAGAGATTTCCTAAAAAAGAAAGCGGTCACGCATGACTCAATCTATTATTTTAATGAGTATAAACAATGTAGGAACAATTTGAATAAAACAATCAAGGAAACCAAAAGTAATTATTATAAAAGTAAACTAAATGCATGCAAGGACCACAAAGAGAATTGGAAATTGATAAACGAATTGCTAAACAATGCATCAAAAACTACTATAATTATGAATTGGTAGTTGACGAAGGAAAAATAGTAGGAGATGAGAATATTGCAGAAGAATGTAACAGCTTCTCCTCGCGCATAGGTGCACGTTTAGCTAAAAATATAGACGCAAGTGATGTCGATCCACTGTCTTTCGTAACAGCTACACCACACAACTTCGAATTTCAAACTATATCCCATGATAAAGTTAGGGAGGAAATTAAGCAAATGAAAACTGCTAAATCATCGGGCTATGACAAAATCTCTGTGAAACTAATGCAGGCCGCTGGGGGTGCAATTGTTGTGCCACTAACGTATATATTTAACCAATCTCTTAAGACTGGAATTTTTCCAGATGACTGGAAAATTGCTAAAGTAACACCTATCCACAAATCAGAAGAAAAAACCCTATGCGGTAATTATAGGCCGATTTCTGTCATTTCTATAGTTCCCAAAGTATTTGAGAAAGTTGTACACGAACAATTAATGAAATATTTGGAACACCACCAAATAATTTCCAAATTTCAGTCTGGTTTTCATGTAAATCATTTAACTGAAACATCATTACTACATGTAACTAATAGCTGGTTAGCAAACATGGACGCTGGTTTGATTAATGGTGTCCTATTTCTGGACCTCAAAAAGGCTTTTGACACGGTAAATCATGAAATTCTATTATCCAAATTGGGATGTTATGGGTTCGTGGATTAGCACTGTCATGGTTTCAGTCATATCTTAGTAGTAGGAAACAAATTTGAAAAGTAAATAACTCGCTATTAACCTTCCAAAATATTACATGCGGCATTCCACAAGGATCTAACCTTGGGTCACTCCTGTTTACAATTTATATAAATAATCTTCCAAATATTTTAGAAATAACTGAACCCTCCATGTTTGTTGATGATACAAGCTTAACTGCAACTGGAGAGTCTTCTTTTGAAATTGAATACAAATTGGGGGTGGAAATCCAAAACGTTAAGACTTGGTTAGATGCAAACAAATTAACATTAAATGAAGAAAAAGCGAGTATATGCTAATCGGCTCAGGAAAGCGCTTAAAACAGATCAGAAATGACCCTATTATTAAAATTAGAGATCATATAATCAAACGGGTTTACAAGAAAAAAGTCTTAGGCTTAGAAATAGACGACAAATTACAATGGACAAAACATGTTGAAAAACAATCTAAAAAGATTTCTTGTTCTATAGCTATGTTACGAAAAGTGAAGCCTTACGTACCTCAAGCAACACTACAGATGATGTATAAGTCATTTGTACTCCATTATTTCAACTATTGTTCAACTATATGGTATGATGGTAATAAAATGCACGCCGAAAAATGCTGAAATTGCAAAAGCGTGCAGCACGGGTCATTACCAGTTTGGGCCTTAGAAGAACGATCTTCTGAAATTTTTCAAATACTCAAATGGACAAAAATACAATCAATACTAAAAAAGCGAGAATTAGCGATGACATTTAAAGCACTTAGGGATATGGCTCCAGAATACTTAACACAGATGTTTCATGACTCTGTTAACCAAACCTACCAACTACGAAATAATTATCAAAAGCTTTACCTACCAAAATCTAAGACGATTTTTTTAAAACAAAGCTTCTCCTGTAGAGGGGCAGTTTCATGGAACCAAATTTTAATGGAAATATGTCCAATTACAGAAATACCTGAAACTTCCATCAGTTCTTTTAAAAGACTAATAGATGGCTTGTGTTTTTGAATTTGGAGGTCATCCTGCCAAACCAAACGTTTATGTAAACAGGTATATTATGCATGATTGTTTTTTAGTTAATAATTTTAATACTTTTATAATAATTTATAGTAAGTGCATGTGCACGGCCCTTTGAAAAACAGACTTCTGAAAGGCTACCGTGAATAAATAAGCTTAAATAATAATGGAAACTTTATTTATTGATTATTAGGATATATACAACTACAATGGTAAACCTCGCTTTACAGGTAGTTTATCAATGTCTACTTGAATTGATACGTACTATATATTTATTGTACAATAATTATTTTAAGAAGGATTATATTAACATTAATTTTGGGTTATCCCACACCTTGTTTCGTTTACAAAATACATAATATGATGTTCGTATGCATATGTTCACGATTTGCTTTTTTATGTATTTACTATACTTGGCATCACATTTAAGGCTACTTAGCATGCCATCGAAATTTTCACAAGATCGGCCAAAAACTCCGAGGGTACTCAAGAATAAATTGACGAACTTGACTTTATTATAATCTGCTTCCTGCTCATTGATTAGATCACGGTACTTTTGACTCTTACGATTGGCGTTAACTAGCAGATTGGATTCATAACCGACTGTAAGCTCGAGGATGTATAGACATCTGTTTTCAGTCACCAGCAGAAGGTCAGGTCGTAAACGATCTCCCGTGATAACAGATGGATTCATAAAACCAGGAATGTCCGCGTAAAGTGTGGAATTTTTCACAGCAGTAAGAGTGGATGCGAGGAAATTTAAAACAGAATCGTGTCGCCATGTAAACCGGCCTTCGTCTAAATATGTCTTACATCCAGCAATCACATGGAGCAGCGTTTCAGGTGAGGAGCAGAAAGAGCAATCGGATGTTGACGATAGTCCCCATTTTGATAGGTTCTTTCGTGTTGGAAGTGTGTGATTCATGATACTGGAAAAGAAAGAACCTTGCGAAATGAGGTGGTTTTGAAGTCTTTGTTCGTTTTCTTTTCTAACTGCCTTAAGGTGGCTCCCTACAGTTATAGTCCAGTTTAAAATATTTATATAGCTCAGACGTCATCCTCGCGACTCGCGCGTGGAATCGTCGTGGCCCGGTAAAAATCTTGAAACAAGTAAACAAGCGGCGGGAAGTTGTTTTTGTATTTTTATCTACAAAGAAAACGCCAGTTTTTTATTATAATCCTAAACTTTTCAACATTCGAACAGTACGTATGTTGTTAGCTAGTTTTTACCTACATTCAGTGTGTTTTTTTTTATATATTTAATACGTTCAGTACTGTATTTCATAATGCTCACAATGTTCAACAACAGTGTCACGGACTGAAATTATATTTATACTGTCTTGAAGGCACTCCTGAATTGTCACTGAAACTTACGTAAAACCTGTCATTCATCTCAGTTCACATGTAGTTTTTTATCTGCTGAATCCAATAAAATTATAATGCAGACAGTTACGAGTTGTTTTATACGAAAAGTCAAACTCTACTTGAATGTTTTGTAAAGTTTTTTTCACACCGATTTTCATAACAAAACTAAATTTAAGAAACGTTGGATTAAGTCAGTGCGTTATTGTGTTCTCAATGTTTCGTATTTTGAATACATATATCTTTTATTTTCATTTCAAACTAAGTAAAAAATATCTGTGTGATACATATAAGCCAAAAACTCAAAAAGAAAATTGCTAAAAAAGCCAACTATAAACCGTACGCGTTTCGTGTTCCCCACGCAAATAGTGATTATGTCGAATCGATATTTTGTCACGTCAACAGCTTCAACTGGATTTAGGGCTATTTTTCTTGCGTTTCCTTCGGTGAAAATTTTTTAAAGTTTGCACGTTTGCTAAGCATGACGATTCGCCAAACATATCAAAATTTCAAGAAATTCTATATGACAGATTTTTTGTGGTCGTTATTCATGACTATCTCAAAACCTGCCTTATAAACATTCCTTCAAATTTTAATATGTCACTCCCCTTTCAACTATAAATCTTAAAAAAAAAATTCAGAAAAATTGACCGAAGGAAAAAAAAGATATTGCCGTTTGATTGTAAAATTAGACAATAAAAGTGCAAAAGATGAAACGTCATGGTTGCCATGGCAACACTAACAGTGTTCCTATTTTTCATATATCGACAGCAGAAGACTTCTGAACTTTCCTGGAAATGATTATATTGCCCTGTCTTAAGTGTTTTCAATATAAATTTGGTTCAAAACGAAGGCTACCTAAAATACTTAAAATTTTAGAAAACTGTAGGGAGCCACCTTAAGTACGTCTTTGTAAATGTCATACTGTATGTTCTTGTTGGTGCTCGTCACCGCCCATAGATTGTTAATATCTACGTTTGGTCAGTATTTTAAAGCTGATCGAGAGACAGTTTGACATTGGATAAATTTTGTCGAAGAGAGAATAATATTCAGACCAAATTTGTTTTGTGGAAGCAACACGTTGCTAAGGGTTGCAAAGACAGGAAGTTCCAGCCATTTTCGGATATATTTTGTCGCAATACTGTCTAACGTTTCGCAGATCCAGGTCTTAGATATATCAGAAACAGTGAAATCCCAGGATATCTTTGACAGCAAGTAACGACTGTATAGTAGAATTTTATTTTTCGGGTGTAAAGGTAGTTCATTAATTTTATTCATGATGTCATTAAACACGTCGAGTAATTCTGATTTGTGTTCCTCATCAGACATATTGAAATCGAAATAGCGACCTAAGTAACGGAAAGATTTGCCCATTTCGGTTCTGGGTACAAGATCGTTATTAACGAAAAGCTTGGGTAAATACTGGATAGATTTAGTTAAGTGTTTTTTAATGCCAAATGTTGAACATTTGTCAACGCGTAATAATAATAATAATAATAATAATAATAATAATAATAATAATAATAATAATAATAATAATAATAATAATAATAATAATAATAATAATAATAATAATAATAATAATAATAATAATAATAATAATAATAATAATAATAATAATAAACTGAGCAGTAAGAAGTATTACGAGATCGCACTATGATGCACGCGCTAGTTCTCTTTTGAATAATTTGCACCTAGACAATCTTTGTTTACGACGCAAAAAGATTAAGGCTGGAATTATGTTTAAAATACTCAATGGTGATGCACCATCTTACCTACAAAATCTTTTCTCTGTTCGCGGCAGTGGGTACAACTTAAGAAACTCTGAAATAAAGCTAAATTTGCCCAAGCCACGAACTAACTATTTAAAACGAAGTCTTTGTTATAGGGGAGCCTTATTTATTACAACAGTGCAATTTAATTCATAGTTTATAATATATTATATAACTTTATATAGTTATAGCTTACAAATCTAGTTCCTGCTGTGCAAATCTAGTTCTTCAACGCTTCGGTTGTTGACATGTTAATATTCCAGGACTTTAAATAAGGCATATGTCATATATACCAAGAATAACAGCATGAATTCACGCCCAGATGACAGAAGAATATTAACATTGGTCCATACAACAAAAACAAGTAGCAAAATATCGTAAACGACAACAAAATATCACAACTTGCAAGAAATCGTACTTTGTTGCACAAAATCCACCAAGTGCACTCAAGTGCACATTTCAAGTGTACTTTTCCCATCAGGCCTTTCGCCCATCTCTCCCCACTACAATACTTCATGTAAACTCGTCATAAGCGCATCACTGTTTTTTTACAGAGAGACGCCTGGGTACGAGGCAGGTGACATATTCAGTCCAGTTTAAAAATGGGGGCTTTTGGCTGAATGATCAGAATATATTTCACACAGTTTCGTTGAATTTTCAAAGAGTTGTGCCGGTTTCCTATGGATTTTACGTTGCGTCACCCTCTGGACTATCTTACGTGTTGATTTGATGCGCTTTTCTTTGCGTAACTACTCGAAAATCCCAAAATTTGGACCAGCGAATTTTATTATACAATATAGTGGAATATATAACATTTAACAAATATAAAACATTTTCCGTCTTGATATACAGTTATATCAACACAAGTGGAATTGGAAAACGAGAAATTGTATGGAAACACGACGCCCGAAGGGCGGAGTGTTTTCATATAATTTCGAGTTTTCCCAACTTCCACGAGTGTTGATATAACTATATATCAATATGGAAAAAATGTTTTATATTTTTTTTATAATATAGCAATGTCAAAAGCCCGAAGGATGAGAAAATTTCCGTGTTTACAAGCGGCGGAAAATTTCCCGTGTTGACATTGTATTATATCAACACGGCTCTTAGCCAATCAGCGTTCAGAATTTACAAATGCTATATTATAAAGTGGAATACAATTAACAAGGACAAGTTAAAGGTTTGACTGTTTAGCCTTAATTAACACCTTGTCCACCATACGTACCCGTTTGGTTGGTTAGGTGTTAGTTCAGCTGACCGAGGGGGTGACCTGGACTGACTACAGTTACTTGGACTCAGATTAAGATCCATGACAATGGCATCTTGAGCTGCCACCCAAGGGTGATGAGTAGCATCGCGCCTCCAAAAAACAGAAGGGACCACCCCATCCTGCATGCGGGGAAACAAACGACAGTATAATAACGCACATTAATTCAGCATAATATAAGGCGCATTAATTCCAGAAGTAATTACCAGCCGATATGGTAAGACAAGCATATATAATATAATAAGGCACATTAATTCCGGAGGTCATTACCAGCCGATATGGTAAGACAAGCTTAATAAGGCACATTAAATTCCAGGCGTCATTACCAGCTGATATGGTAAGACAAGCATAATCAGGAACATTAAATTCCGGAGATCATTACCAGCCGATATGGTAAGACGAGCATAATAAGGCACATTAGTTCCAGACGTCATTACCAGCCGATATGGTCAGACAAGCATAATAAGGCACATGAATTCCGAAAGTCGTTACCAGCCAATATGGTAAGACTAGCTACGTAATTAATTATAACCTTGGTTCCAGAACCAAAATTGTTACCAGCCGATATGGTCAGACAAGCATAATAAGGCAAATTGATTCCAGAAGTTTTTACCGGCCAACATGGTGAAACGAGCTACATAATTCGCCATGATCCCCCAGAAAAGTTGTTACCCGCCGACATAGTACTTATAGACCATTTATTAAAAATAACTAGAAAATACATGCATGCAGAAACCCTCGCCTTGCTGACAAAACCATTGTATTTTCCGAACATGAAGTATCAAAGTAGTTGTCATGGTAACACGATAATTTTTTTAAGAATATTCTTGCAAATGAAAAATCGCCTAAAAATATCACTTTTATACATACAAAATTATCAATTTCCCAACATATATATGTTAGGTATGATATTATACGTAATATAAGCTTCAATTTAAGGTAAAATTCAACAACAAACGCTTCGCAAAACGTTTTAAAGTGTTCTTTACATAAAAACTAAACTGCCTTTTATTAAATGGCTTTATCCATAAACTTTGAGTTTGCAATAAAATTATTCCAAATTCTCGCATGCAAATAACTTTGCGTACTTTTTATTTAAAAAATTCAATATAATAAAAAAGGGAATCAATATTAAAGATACACTGAAATTATATGCTGTCTTGTTTTATAGTTGTTTCATATACGCAAAGGCCGTCGGGTATTAAAGTCATCATAAAATCAATATTTAAAACAAACTTCCCTTCGTTAACGTCGGCTCCTTTCTTTTAGCCGATTCTTTTGCCCTTTCTTTCTTGAGTTTACAAAATCTTGCAAAAATGCGAGCAAAAATAAATATATTTGCAAGAAATTTATCAATCATCAAATCAAGATATGTTTGCTATTTCGCTGTTGTCATGCAGTCGTTATAATGCAAACTTTAAATTGGACCAATCACAGTGTTCGCTATTCATGACAGTCCGCCACATTTTTGAGATCAGTGAGGATGACCACCCACGAACAGTGAGCCACGCCCGCGATCATTGGTGAACTTTAGACTTCCCTAATGCTTTCAATTCGCTTCGCCGGGTGTAAATAGCCGGGGGGAATTAGTACCCTCGCAAGGCGCTTCGCACCGCCGGCTCGGGGAAAAGCATGTCGACCCCCGCCATACAAGCAAAATTTCGCGTAGGATAAGCAAAGTTAGTTGCCCACTAAAAACGTGTCGCGCGTAACGAAATCCACGCGGGAGTCTTGTCTCGCGGGCATATAGTCACTTCAGCAATGAACAGAGATCAACAAACAATAGGCCGCCATAATTTTTGTTCTTTGCATACAAACAGACCGATAAAAACAAAAAAAAAAAAACAAACAATAACAACAATTGTTATAGGAAACAAGTTCACTTGCCAGATCAACTGCTAGGGGAATGTTAGACTGTGAAACAAACCGTCTACGACGGGAAGCGAAGTATAAGATTATACCTTTTGAAAACTTGTCGAATTTACAGACGTAGTTCGGTGACGTAACAGACAGATCACAGTATGGTGAAAACACAGCTTGCGCTAATAGTGCAAACTGCAAGTAAACCCACTCGCCCAAGGGGTAGCTAGTCACTACCATAGCCGCGAGGACGCAACACAACACATATTTGTATCGACACATATTTGTATTATTCTTTTTTGTTGTTTTTTCTCTATTAATTACCTGTGTATAATATTAATTCCCACGTTTGCACCCAAAGTAGACTGAATCCTAAATATCATCCGCAAAACTGTCGATGAAAGTCAAAGTAGACTAGGCTACCACTTGTCTTAGGCAAGCTACGTTTGGGAGATCAGGCAAGCCGCCACTCCCTTCAATAATGCTAGGAGTACGACTGTACATTTAGTATGTGGGACCAGTCGCAAGCACTCCTGCAAGTTAAAGCGAAATAGTACGTGAGCAATTACGTTCTGTTTACCAGGGACATGTGCCGTAGATATGCGAAACATCGTATTTTGCCGCGACTAAAATTAGAGCGAATGAATTTCTCGTTGGGTTTGGATGAGCAAAGCAGATTTGTAAGGCGTTACAGAAATGTGCGGCCAAGTGCCACAACCACACAGGCATGGCTGAGTTTACCCACCAAGGATTCTAGTTCCATACGTGTGCAACGCTTCTTGTTCTTCCACGCTACTATCGTGATTCGCAGTTCGAGTAATTTATCATCAGGCAAACGTGCTGTCATGGTGATCGAGTTCAGTTCGCTGCCGAGAAAAATAACTATATAACATTCTGATGGCATCTGGAACAGTACTGTACACGACTGGAAATTCGTTTTTCAAGATACGAACCTTAACGCTATAACCAGTTAGAAATGATACGTCTAAAAATTAGCCTACTCTAAAGCGAGTGCTGTATATTTTGGAGAGGGAGAGTCGTCAAAAGGCCCAGTCCCCAACCGCGCATGAATTTCTTAAGCCAGATACTTATCAATAACATGTGGAATGTGGATGAGCATCCGCTGAGGAACAGTTCGACTGTGTGGATATTAGAGGAAAAACATATAAAACTCCGTGCGAAAAAACCCTCTTTGAAACATGCACTAAGGCTGTAATTAACTTTTATACGATCAGGATGTGCTGTCACTTGTGTGTGCAAAATGTCAACGTCAATAGGAAAGTTATCTGATACCGCTGTATCTAAGTATTCTGTCAAGTCAGACCGCCCAGAAACGGCCGCCTGCGGAGTTTCACCTGACTCACATGACGACCGAGCAAAAAATCCAAAAAACCCCCAGCGGGATCTGCAAACTGAGTTCGCAACTT